TCTTGTTTTCATTGTTCTCTCGGATTCTCCAAGAAAATGGTGAAAAGTGATAAGTGTACATATTATCAGATAGCGACAGGTCTCCTTCCACATCACTTCCATTTCACTATTCATCCCCATTCATTTATACATCTTCTGTACATTAAACATAGCAATACAAAGCCTTTGAAAGACGAAATTCATCTGAATAACTTTCAAAAATTCATTTCGTACCTCGCTGAAAGCATTGGGTCCCCCTATTGTGAGAGGCAGTGCTGTTTATTCTGAGAATCATACAAAACCCAGATACACACTGCAGGCAAAGCGCAGAGTGATTTATGTTAGAGCAGGTAGCACACACAGTAACGGTTGTGTTCCAAGAGTTTCAATTAAACATACGCATAACGCCCACATTCTGGAAGAGCTTATTGTGTATTCTCTCAATAAATTCCTTGTAAAGCTATCCATGTAAAAGACCATGCAGGCTCAAAGGTTTGTGAGACGTCGAGGCTCTCAAATTTTCTAGACAGTCGGTTCACAGATGGCGGTGAGGTTGTGAGCCTTACACACTGGCCGCCCTTTAGCCCCAGGAAGATTCTTGGTACTCATTTCTGTTAGAGGCTGAGTCAGCCGCGCCATAGCTCAAGCGGTTAGTCGCTGGCTTCCCACTGCAGCGGCCCGGGTTCAATCCCGGTTATGGTCAAGTGGGATTTGTGGTGGACAAAGTGGTGCTGTGGAGGGTTTTTTCCGAGTACTTCGGTTTCCCTGCCAATCTTCATTCCACCAAATTCTCCATCATTATAATCACCCGGGGCAGGATACAATAGGCCAATCAGTGGCCGCCGTGCCGAGTGGAACCAGTTGGACTCCTCCCTCCACTAAGCGAATTTAATTTTAGAGGGTCAGTCGAACACAAGGCCATAGTCCGGCTGGAAGGATTAGGTTAATTAAAAAAAAAACACCTAATCGGGACTCGACCCGCGACCTTCCGGCTTGTACCAGTGCCCGAACCGACTAGGTTACCGCGCGCCTCCACGGAAAACACCGTCTGCCATTGTTGTGGATGCATGCTTACAGCTGCGTTGCTGGCAACAGACTTCCTATATGTTCGTGCTTTTGCTCAGCGCGGAACGCATAGAAAACAGTTTCCCTTCTATTGTTCCTTCTCTTGGACTTTACAGAGCTGTTGCGTGGCAACGAGTTGATCTAACCTCCCATCTATACACGTATATTCCAAGTACTTTCTTTCCTTCAGGTTTTCATACCAAAATCTTCTATACATTCTTCTATATTCCCCGCCTATCTCATCCTCCTTAATTTCATCACCCATATAATATTTGCGAAGAGTATAAATTATGAAGATCCTCATTACCTGATTTTCTTTGCCCTCCCAACACTTCCTACTGCTTATATCCAACAGTTTACCACAGCACTGTACTAGTTCAAGGTTAGAAACAAAACCAGTAAGTGACCAGTGTAACAGGTTTAAAATAACGTGTCAGAGTGAACAAATTAATATATGACAATGATTTAAATAATGCGTGACACAAACAAACAACCAAACAAACCCTGTAACTTAAGTCCTCAAGCCAACTATACCGACCGAGCGACCGCCGCTTGTCGGCGATGTTAGTGCCAACTTTAGCAGATAAGAGGAGTCGCGTGATTAGCGCAACGAATCCCCACGGCCGTAAATTTCGGTTTTCCTGACCGGAGCCGCTGTTTCCTTGAAACAGTTCCTCAATTATCCTCACGAGGATGAGTCGACCCAGTTCCAGACCCATACTTATCAGAAAATCTGGTAGAGCCGGGATTGAAAATCGGTACCTCTGGATCTGTAGCCAGGAGCTCTGACCACTAGACCGCAGTGGCGGTTAATGTATGACACAAACTACAAATAAAGTGTGTAAATATACCATGGAGCCAGATGGTAGCAACCGTTACCTATATGCCATTTCCTGAAACCTGGATGTTATTCGTACGCGTGCCAAACAGCCAATTTTCTTCCTAAGTCGAAGTTGGATGTCAGAAGTTGTGACGATTCCGCTACTGCACAATAAATTTTGACTTTAACATCTTTTTCCAAATTGGATCTGACAGCCCCATTTAGAGCACAGAATCCTCACTAAAGGCTCATTACGTCGCTTTGAAGTTGTTATTCGGAGAAAAGACGGAATAAAATCTCTAGTTTCTACCATAAACGACAAAAAAATACATTAGCAGACCAGTATAAAATGGAGACACAAATGGTAAAACTTGTAACATAATGACATGCGTTGTACAGATCTGAAACAAAGTGACGAGTACCAGCTTCCAAGTTCATCAGAACATCTAATTCATAAATACGTCAAACACAAGTTATATAAAAGTATAAATCAATGTGAACAAATATAAAGATATTAATTATTCGAAAAGTTAAAACAAGATATCAGGCGTAATGAAAATTCTTTAATAATAATAATAATGCTAAATTTGGTCAGATAAGGTGACTACCTTTTCCAACACATCAAAGAATAAGTCCATGAATATGAATTTGATATCTGAGAATAAGGAGTGAGCGACTTTTGCCAGTGGGATTGTACAGTTAACGCCATACATTCATCACCACAGCAGTTTGTGTTCACTGAATCATTATTACAAAGCACCATAAATATGGAAGCCAAGCCCTTCATTCCCTCAAAACCGACCACCTGATCGAGTGAACATTGCGTTCAGTAATTCCAGATGCCTACACTCTATCACATCCTGTTGCCTTTCTCTTCTGTATCTCATATTCAATCCACGCTGTCGCATATTTCGACGGCCTCTGTGGGGTCCCCTCAAGATTTTAGGCAAAAAGAATGGAATTTAAAATAACTTGGAACCGGTCTAATATATTTTATCATTAAGAATTTCTCTGTTCAGTGAAAGCTATGTGCATAATGTTACAGAATATTTGATGCAAGAAGTAACACGAATTGCCTACATAAACAAAGACCATAACTATATAAGATTTGAGGTTTTCACGGCGGTGACTATGAAGAAAGACCAGTCTGCTTGTACCGGTTCTCACTATCTCTTCGCTTGCGGATTTTCTTATTTTTCCTTCTACCCTGAAGATGGAGGCGATATGTTCCTCCGAAATGTCGGTTAACACCACATCTACACGGTGCCACATCCCAGAAGACTGCTTTCTTCAAAGATGATAACTATTTCCCATATTGTCCATCGTCCTGGAGGTCTCAAACATGACGTTTCGGTAACTGTATTTGTCATCAAGTGTAAGTGAGGAAAGTGTCCTACTCAGTTCAGCAGATAAAAAGTAGCCAGCCTCTATCACTGTAAACTGGAGCAGAGCAGAGTAGAGCAGAGCAGAAGCTTACTGCCGGCAATCAGCAGGCACGGTCACTCTTCGCATCGGGCCCCGCTGAGACCCATGGCCACATATTTGTTTAATGTCAAGGTTTTTTGTTTTCTTTTTCATTCGTTGTTTCTCCTTATTGATAAAAAAGAGGGTTTTGACTTTTTCTTAATTGGTGTCCCCTTACTAGACCTCATTCCACCTGGTGTTACATTAAAATATTGGATATGTACATATTATATACTGTTCAGATAATATAAATTGACATTAAATTCTAATATACGCGTATACAGGGACCTCTGTCAATGCAGGATAGTGCAGCAGCCTATGCATCAATTTATTTAACACTCCGAAACGGCAGTTCGACACTTGAACGGTCGTAGGCTTGACTGCCGCTATCTGCCCGCCTCCTACATAATTTAGTTATGTAATCATACACGTGCCGGTCACGGTAGCCGAACGGTCTAAGGCATGCACTGTCTTCGCTCGCTCGGAAGCCGGGATCGAGGGTTCGAATCCCACTCAGGGCATGGATGTTTGTGTGCGTTTTTCTGTGTTTGTCTACAGGTAGAGGCCTTGCGACGAGCTGATCACCCGCCCAAGGAGTCCTACCGAATGTGTAAGATCGAGAAAAACCGAAGTGAACGGAGTTCATGGAGGTAGGCCTAGGCCCACTGGGGCAGTAGTGCCAAGGAAAAAAAAACATACACGTACGAAATTTTGAACGGCAAGTACACGGGGCCAACGTGCTGAGTAGAGTATATAAACGTATTCTGTAAACGTCAAGTATCAGCGAGAAGTAACAGATAAATGTCAATAAAAATTATGAACGAAACAAAAAGAGAACTAAAGTGAAATTCTATTATATGCAAGACTGAAATCCATCTAACGCTGACTAAAGCCACCTAAGAACGTGGTTTCAGTGACCGCTAGATTTTAATCACATCCTTACAGTTGTCCTGTTCTGTTGGAACGCCATGTAGTCAGTATAACTTATAATTTGATACATTTAAGATGTAACATTAACTATAAACAACATTCAGGAACAGTGATTCTCAACTCGTAGACTCGGAGGGACGTCAGTTTCCAGCGTAATAAATCAGTTACACCAAAACTTCACGGTGTTCTAAGCACAAACTTCTCATTAATGCTGCACTATAATCGTACTTGTGCTAACTCCGAGTATCTTCTTCTTCTTCCCTTGATGAATTAGACCCTCTGTCCTACTCGCATTTCAAAATTGGTCTGAAAACTATGAATCTTACAAAGGGTTTGTAAGTTTGGATGAGGGATAAGCCCGTCCAAGGCTGATGCCTACACAGGGCTACACAAACACTGAAAGCAACGCAGACATATACCCATGCCTCGATCCGTGTGCTCGAACCGACGAAAACATTTAGTGCCTTAGAGTGAACGGCCACTGTGTTCGGTCAGAACTACGTCGATTTTATACAATTATAAAAACAAAGCAAAATATTAAAAATCTTTATAGTTCTTAGGAACTATCGATATTGATTGGTATGATATTAAAATGTACACAATTGCAAAAATACACTTCATGAAAAGAGAGAAGCTTGGGTTTTTGCTATATTGAAACCACAATCTTTTTTGCAAATGACAGATGTGAGATGCGTAAGATAGAGGATCGCTGTTACACAGAAATACAGAATGGCAGACTGACCTGTGGCATTGTTGCTGCTCTGATTATTGTTGTTAATTGCGTTAAAGAAAGCTGCAGCACTGGTCAGCCGTGTTCTTCTTAAGATCCAAAACATGATGTACTACGGTTAGAAAGACGGAAGGTGCGCAAGGCGTCGTGCTGTGAGTGAGTGTCCTGGCTGTAGCAGTTCCACCCGACGAGTGTGACAGCGTACGGCACGAGGGTTGTGCCGCTTGGCACCACTGCCGGCACATGCGCCCCATTTCAGCATCCGCTGACTTACTGACCCTGCTCCCTCCACCAACACCCTGCATAACAAGAGCATGAACTCTGCAAAGTCTACAACAACTGCTTAGTTGTTAGCAGGTATTTAAGGACGCCGTCAGGAACTCACGCTAAATTGCCTCGGATGATTAAAAACAGGAACCAGTAAATTGGAAAGGATGTGGAAGGAGACGGTCGTTGCCTAATTTCAGGTATTATCTCAGGATTTTCCTGGAGGTTCAAGACAATGAAAACCACGCAAAGTTTTATTTGCGTCCACGAGACGAAATTTGAACGCGGCGCCTCATAGAAATAAGTCAGAATCATTGCTGCCTGAGGCAGCTTGTTCGACAGCCGTGAAGACATAAAACGGGCGCCGGGGGGCAGCTTCAGTGCCCGCGTTATAAATCAAATTTACATTTATCTGATTTTAGGCCCATGTTACTGTGAATATCGGTCTATAAACCCGAGATTAACGACCGTGGGGATTCGTTGCGCTAATCACGCGACTCCTCTATCCGCTAAAGTTGGTACTAACTTCGCCGACAAGCGGCGGCCGCTTGGTCGGTATAGTTCGCTTGCGGACTCAAACCACGGAGTTTATTTTTTGTTACTATGAATACGGTATTTATGCAGTAACTATAATAAAATGTAAGATACATTTCAGACTGTGGTGCAACAGGTGGAATGGGTAATTATTAAATTTTGCTGTTTGAAGAAAATAATCCCATGTTTAGAGATATCAGAACTATAGCCTAGGATTACAGACTTCGCCCTTTCCAAAAGTATAACAAGATAAAGTTGTCCCTGTGTTAATTAATTAAGCAACATGCCATGAAGGCATATGGGAGAGCGGAGGTATGGCGCAACCATTCTTGACCTCGGCACTAGATGGAGGTTAATTGTAAATTTTACGCGCCGGCCGCTTTCCCCCCGGTGAAAGAGCCCCCGCTAAACATTGGGTGGGACACTCTTCATCCTCTCTAGTCACACTAAAGCAAGTAATGTTGCAATACAGTCATAATCGTAACTACATTTTTCACAGAAATTTATGCGGTATAAAATATATGTAAACGTACTGGGGACAAGATCAGAGACGAGGTATATCCGAATCTGCGGTGTAACAAAGGCCTACTGCATATTGTTGTCCAGGGCCGCTCCATAGCTCAAGCGGATAGTCGCTGGCTTCCCACCGCGGCGGACCGGGTTCGATCCCGGGTCTGGTCAAGTGGGATTTGTGGTGAACAAAGTGGCACTGGGGCAGGTTCTCTCCGAGCACTTCGGTTTCCCCTGCCAATCTTCACTCCACCAATTGCTCCACAATCACCCTCATCTATCATTTGGGGCTGGTACAATAGGCCAGAAATGGCCGCAGCACAAGGGACTTAGTCCCACCCCGCTGATTATCTTTAATACGTGTGCACACAGGGAGCCTACACAGAATAATACCTGAACAGTGCCGAAAACAAGAAGTAGCCGCTGCAGCACTATAGACATACGGCGGGTACCCCTGAGAATTTTAAATTTTAAAATTTGAAAAAATTTTAAAGGAAAATTTTTTAAATTGGAATTGAAGATTTTAAAAGTGCCAGTTTTTGAAAATCAAATTGACGTATGTAGGTAACAAAGATTTTGTACATATCTGACAGATATCAGCGGGGAGGATTCTGATATATCGAAACTTGTTAGCAACGGAGAAATGAACAATTGGGAAGATTAGTGTTTTTTTAAATTTTAAACTACGTTCAGTGTAGCAGCTACATGAGCGTATACACCTGATGAAGTAGTGTAGAAGAAAGGAAGACGAAAGAACTACAATAAATTGTTGCACTTAGGATGGAGTTTGTGTCATATATTGTGTAGGGTGTAACAGGATGCTTAAATATAATATTGCTGCTAATACACTTGTATATATCAAAGCGTTGTTCCGAATTACCAGAAGATCCCGAGACAATGGATTCATAAATAATAGTAATGGAACCGTTGGAAGCGGTAATCTCTGTTAGGTTCTAGGGAATTCATAAAAGGCAGTGCATTCAACAATTTATTTTTTGGAGGGGGGGATTCAAATGCTGAAGTGTTAACCAGATAAGATTCGTTACCAAGCAACGACAAAGCAAGCAGACATTGAAGACTTTATTTTATGTGCTATAATTACAGTAATTTTTAGAATGTTACAATTATTTGTAGTTACGAAATGTGAGTCTCCAATAAATATATTCCCCAATCCAAATCCCGTCTATAAGTCACTAAAATACGCGACAATATTAAAATATTATTTAAAAACTATGCTCGTATGATTTATACAGCCGTGCAGTTTGAAGGCAGCCAGACGTTTCGGAAGAACATATCGCCTTAATTTTCAGGATCGAAGGGGAAACAAGCAAGAAACTACTAGAAGCAGGCGGCAAATTTGGTTTACTCTTCGAACCTAAAGATGTATTCGACATATTTCTTCAAAACTTTGGGATGTCTCCGAACTACATGACGTTAAATCCCAGAATATCGTTCTCTTCATAGTCACCGCTGTAAGAAACTAAATGCAAGATTAAAATATATCCTGGACTGAATTCTACTGCGTGGTGTAAGGACACATTTAGTAGGAAGGTAAATAGTATTGCAGCGTGTAGAGCGTGTAGAAGTACTATTGTACGCTCTTCCAAAACATCGTTCCTCTTCTATCAGTCTACACGGCATCTCATTAGAGATGATATTATTCTTCATAACCACCGCCGTTCGAAGTTCAACTCTCCCGAAAGCAGTTTTGTTTTGAAGGCCTAGACTGCTGCATGTAACTCGTGTGCAAGAAGGGATTCTCGCTGAAGAATCACATGTTCGAAACCTCAACCACGACTGCCTAAACAGTTCTCGTATTTTCGCCTTTCATTCATGGGAACATTACATTTGTATCTTTCCTGCCCAACAACATTAAGTGCAATATTCTCTTGAGGTCCACCGAAGCTGAGCTGTCAAATATTAGAGGGGCATTTTGCACGAATATCCTCAACGTCTGTATCTTGAAGCAGGGATATGAACCTCTTGCTCTTACGGAATTCACAAGATTCACACAACTGTGTCTGTCTCGTCGTTATTTAAAACATATGTGCATAATATCTCCACGTGACTAGACGGGATAGCTCAGTCAGTAGAGCGCCCGCTTACGGGTTGAGCGACCGAGGAATTGGGGTTCGATTCCCGGCAATGACCAGAGATTTTTCTCTTTCCCACAGCATCCAGACCGACTCCGGGTCCCAACCAACCTCCAATCCAATGGGTACTGGCTGCTCATTACCGGGTGTATAGCGGCTGGCCCGTGAAGCTGATCACTCACCTCCATCTAGTGCCGAGGTTAACAATGGTGGATCTGCACCACCACTCTTCCTTCGTCTTCATGGGGTGGTGCTTAATTAAGCACAAACACAGCTTTACCATTTTACCTTCCGGTGAATGATACATTGAATAAATGGTATTTCCCGATGAGGATATGGTTCTTACATATTATTTTACGTTCTCTTCAAAAGACATGGTTTTCTAAATGTCAAATTCGGTGATCCATTTGTGGTCACACTGATTACATTTCCCATGATACGTAATGACTTTCAGAATCTGTTGACAGCTTTCGCACAACATTTAAAATCAAGAAATATTGCAGTTACATGCGAAATGAATGAGTGACATTCAACAGAGTATAACAATTTTGGCAAATGGGACACCGATGATGGCCGGTTGAGGCCGAAACATGTTGTGAAAGGGAAAGAATAAAAAGAGTTGCATTGTTGACAGAACTGTTATACGTAGTAATGCAACAGGGTTCTTGAATACAATTCTGCTTTCTCATAAGTCTTAATGCGTATCTGTGTGTATTTTGTGGAGCAGGGATTTAGAGGCGCGTTAGCACCGCTGGCTACTTACACATGGATCCCCAGGAGCTATACCTTTCACAACTTACAAAGATAACACTAAATTAGTAATGACTCGAACAAGTTGTTCACACGTCATGCAAATATCAGTAACTGAAATGTGTCGCTTTTTCCAATGTCACCACCCAACGAAGTATATAGATGCTAACCAGACTCTAAACCTCTGCTCCCCAAAATACATACAGATACGCATGAAGACTGATGTGAAAGCTTTTAACAAATTCTAAACGTCATAAGGTATCATGGAACGACGTAATCAGCGTGACAACAAATGGATCGCTGGATTTGACATGCGAAAACCCAGGTCTTTTAAAGAGAACGTAAGATACTATGTACGTATGCTGCTTCGCTTGACGTTCTGCAGCATCCAAGCCACAGTCCTGATCTAGCGCCATCACACTTTCTACCTCTTCTGGACATTTAAAAGCTTTTTATCAGGAAAAAGATTTGAGGACCAAAACACATTACAAAAAGCAGTTGTGCAATATTTCACATCCCTTGGGAAGGAGCACTACCCTGGAGGAACGTTTAAACTTGTAAAACGACGGGATAAATAAATAAATAAAGTTTCTCTTGAATTTATTAAAGTTTTTTTTTTGCAATAAATATGATGTAATTTTGTGCCGTACCTTTAAATCCGAAACGTTGGTATGAGCCTAAAGCTCCTCGCCCACTAGAGCAGTATGGTTAGCAGAACAGTGCAGTGTCCATGTAGTATGTCTCCAGCGAGTGCGCCCACTGCAGGCGTGTAGTAGCGTCAGAGACGGGACCGAAAGCATTCCCCCCACCAAAGTTGTTACCCACTACGTTTACCCCTCCAAGTTGAACCAAGTCCGCTTTCGTGCAGTCTTGCGCTCCATGTTGTACAGAATATTGCAATGACCGACTCGTCTTCGGAAGAAGAAACGATTTGTGTAGCTATGATGCTACAAGAGGATCAGCCAAAGCGAATATGGGTGCACGATATTAACAAGAAAAGAAACGAATTCGGAGAGTTCCACACGATATTTCACGACCTAACTGAAGACGATAAGAAGTTTTTTATCTACTTTCGCATGAGCTATGCCAAATTTTGTGAGCTATTATTAGCAATAGAGCCACGCATAGAGAAGAGGAACACGAAAGAGTAGTAGTAGTAGTAGTAGTAGTAGTAGTAGTAGTAGTAGTAGTAGTAGTAGCAGCAGCAAAGTAGTACCTAACTATACTGTTTGTACACGGAAGGTACAGGTACAGTTGTCCCTGTGCTCAACGAATGAAAGCACGACGCCATTAAAGGCTTATGGGGGAGTGGATGTATAGATCCACATTTTCTTGACCCTACCGGGACTCGAACTCTGACCCCTCGGTCGTCCAGCCCGTAGGCAGTCGCTATACCTACTACGCTACCGGGGCTCACGTGCATGGGAAGCCTACTGTAGACCGTGGGTTAAAACATTATATATGCAATTTGTTTTCATTCATGTATTGCATACTAATTATTAGTCTACCTGATTCGTTCAGCGTTTCGCCAATCTCCGTCCAAGCGTTTTCTCTTCTCATGCTGTCATAATAGTAGGCATGACTGCAGTCGTAGAGGATATTGTACTCTTGTACAGTGGAGATTAATCTTTCCTCGAACGCCATGTCTTGCCTCATTGACACTCAACCCAGGAATGACAAAGCGTTTTGGTAGGTGGAAGGGGGATGCGGCGTGCCGCCATGACACTGCCGTGCAGAATGTTTGCCCCTTCGCGCAACGGAGACGATACTATACTACACTATACCATACTGTACTATACTGGCACGACCCTACTCTAGTGGGCGCACTTCCATTTAAATACACGGAGAGCAATGCGTCTGCAGCCTTCGCTCTGCACTGCGCGCGTACGACACTGTGCTAGTGGGCGAGGACCTTAAGAGATCAAGAAACATGATACCTCAAATTTCAGCGCTGAAGCTGGAAGCAGTAATTTTCTCTGAAATATATTCGTAGATACCCGCTAAGCTGAAAGAATTCTAGTCTTACAACGTCTCTGTAGAATGATTAACTGTGCTCGAGACTTTGATTAGTTTATGTAGAAGCTGTAACAGATAGCAGCTCGACTGACAAATTTCTCAGTTAAGGTCCTCGCCCACTAGAACAGTGTCGTATCCGCGCAGTGCAGAGCGCAAGCTGCAGACGCATTGCTCTCCGTGTATTTAAATGGAAGTGCGCCCACTAGAGTAGGGTCGTGCCAGTATAGTACAGTATAGTGTAGTATAGTATCGTCTCCGTTGCTCGAAGGGGCAAACATTCTGCACGGCAGTGTCATGGCGGCACGCCGCATCCCCCTTCCACCTACCAAAACGCTTTGTCATTCCTGGGTTGAGTGTCAATGAGGCAAGACATGGCGTTCGAGGAAAGATTAATCTCCACTGTACAAGAGTACAATATCCTCTACGACTGCAGTCATGCCTACTATTATGACAGCATGAGAAGAGAAAACGCTTGGACGGAGATTGGCGAAACGCTGAACGAATCAGGTAGACTAATAATTAGTATGCAATACATGAATGAAAACAAATTGCATATATAATGTTTTAACCCACGGTCTACAGTAGGCTTCCCATGCACGTGAGCCCCGGTAGCGTAGTAGGTATAGCGACTGCCTACGGGCTGGACGACCGAGGGGTCAGAGTTCGAGTCCCGGTAGGGTCAAGAAAATGTGGATCTATACATCCACTCCCCCATAAGCCTTTAATGGCGTCGTGCTTTCATTCGTTGAGCACAGGGACAACTGTACCTGTACCTTCCGTGTACAAACAGTATAGTTAGGTACTACTTTGCTGCTGCTACTACTACTACTACTACTACTACTACTACTACTACTACTACTACTCTTGGGGTTATGGCCTCTCTAAAATTCGTGTTCTTCTTCTTTATGCGTGGCTCTATTGCTAATAATAGCTCACAAAATTTGGCATAGCTCATGCGAAAGTAGATAAAAAACTTCTTATCGTCTTCAGTTAGGTCGTGAAATATCGTGTGGAACTCTCCGAATTCGTTTCTTTTCTTGTTAATATCGTGCACCCATATTCGCTTTGGCTGATCCTCTTGTAGCATCATAGCTACACAAATCGTTTCTTCTTCCGAAGACGAGTCGGTCATTGCAATATTCTGTACAACATGGAGCGCAAGACTGCACGAAAGCGGACTTGGTTCAACTTGGAGGGGTAAACGTAGTGGGTAACAACTTTGGTGGGGGGAATGCTTTCGGTCCCGTCTCTGACGCTGCACGCCTGCAGTGGGCGCACTCGCTGCAGACATACTACAACGGCACTACAACGACACTGCACTGTTCTGCTAACCATACTGCTCTAGTGGGCGAGGAGCTTTAGGGGTTGGCTAATATTCCTTTAATTTAACCTGCTTATTATAGCTGCCTCATTTCTTCGGAACGAGAAGCATCCGCTGCTATTCTCCTCAGACTAGTCTTCTTACATCACTACACAGCTAAGCAGAAGTACATCAGGTTAATCGTATTCGTGACCGCCTCTGTGGTCTAGAGGTTGGAGATTCTGGCTACAGATCCAGATCCCGGCGCTACCGCATTTTCTGACAAGTAGTGGGTATGGAATGGGGTCCACTCTTCCTCGTGATGATAATTGAGGAGCTACCTGAATGGAAAAGTAGCGGTTCCGGTCTAGAAAACCGAAATTTACGGCCGTGTGGATTCGTTGTGCTGACCATGCGATACCCTTTATCCCCTAAATTTGGCACTAACTTCGCCGACAAGCGGCGGTCGCTCGGTCGGTATAGTTCGCTTGCGGACAAAAGTCACGGAGTTTTTTTTTAAATCGTATTCGTACACCCGGACTTTTTCTCTGGAATCCCTAGATTGCCCGATTTGAACAACTGGTTTATCCAAGGCAACGGAAGCAAACAGGGGGACCAGGGGATTGTTGAGATTTTCTTTGGAATTGGGCGATCGATCAGTCAATCAATATATAGCACTCAGAATCACTGAATTTTTTGACTTCGTTCATCGTCCGGTATTCTAGAAACTAGAAAAAACAACGTTTAGAAAACTGGATCTGTGTCCATCCTCAGATGAGGGGGCGAGACATTCACTTGGGTCCCTTAGAAAGAGCTAACCTCTGTCACTGGAAACAAATCTAGTTTCCGAAACGTTCTTTCATAGTTTCTAGAATACAGGACGACGGATAAAGTAAAAAAACCCAGTGATTCTGTTACACACCATAGCCAGAACCAATTAGAATCAACAAATGTATAGACTAAAAAAAAAACCGAAACACAACAAACACTAAAAAATAAAAGAATGTAACTTTCCATTCGTACTTACGGTATCCTGAGGATGAGCACTATGGCTCTTTTTTTTTATCCTTTCGGATTACGGGCTGGAATTAACAAATTTACGTTTTGGCGCCATTTTTGTTCTGATAGGAAAACTGTGACATTACTGAACGGTCCTGTATATATTATTCATTTTATTTTTTAAGATAATTTTTAAAATTATATATGTACGTATATGTTTGAAGTTTAAAATTCAGATTTTTTTCTGCAAATCACAAAAATGGTATGTCGGAAAGTCTAGGAGTAAAAATGTAAATATGTTCACTATATCTTTAATTATTTTGCTAACCTCCAGTGGCAGAATGTGGAATTAATCACATCACAGCAATCCGAACCAGTGACCGAGCGTCACTGATTTCAACCAGACTATAGCGTGTAGCGTGTGAACTGCTAAACATTTCTATCACAGCGACAGAACTCGTATCTCTCAAACAAACCGGCCAACCAGGCCGCTGAAGATAAACAGTTCCTATATATTTCATACTTTACATCTTCGCATAAAGAACATGACCTGATGACACATAATTCTGGCACGTATTTAACATAAATTTCTGATTCACTTATAAAAATTACTGAGATTGATATAAATGTTTGGACAAATTAACTGAATGCCAGTATAAAGAAAGGCGTCGTTTTGTTCTGGGGCCTGTGTGGGTGCTGCCTTCATAAAAAAGGCAAAGCTATCCATGCAAGAGGCCGCGAAGTCCCACAGAATTGTGAGACGTCGAGTTCTTCGTACCGAGTGAAATCGGAGATGCACTGGAAAAAGAGGTGGTTGTTGATAATATCCTTGACAGCCTCTTCCCGCCTTCCTCTGCACAAGCATATGTGTGTGTGTGTGTGTGTAACCTTCAACGTACGATGTTAGATAGCTGTGTTGACTGAGTATCCATGTTATCTTACTGAATAATTAAAAGCGAATAACAATTGTCAGTATGCTGACACCGAACCTACTAGTTACAAATACGATGAATAATTATTTTCTTAAAATAATAAGTTATTACTACCAACCCTGAAATACTGATGCTACTACTTACCAGGTTTGGTTCTGAGCGTCTTGAAGAAATTATGCTTCGCAAGAATCTGTCAGCTTTCTCAAACAGCATTATTATAAAATAGAACAAATCATAACTTCCTATGATTTCATAAATTAGTTCAGTTCATGGCTGCAGACTGTTTTAATCCCCTATTTTTCTTTCTTCCAAAAGCAATTTGCAGTTAATATCCACGTTGAGTTATCCAACTAGTTTCTTTATCCCCTCTTCTCTCATATTTATTATGACACCAACCGCTTTTATGGTTATATAACACTTCACACTTTTCTTACAATTTCAGAAAATTATTAACTCACGTCATTATTTCACTTGTCACTCATTCTGTAAGCATTCGCCAACAGTAAACTTTGTTGCATCTCATGAATACGGGCAAATTAACAGCTCTTTCATACGTTCAATTTGGCAACATCAAGCAACAGCTAGGACGTTCTTAAGTCTGATCAGTCAAGTAACAAGTTTAAGTGATTTCTACTCTCGTGAAACTTGGAACAGCCTCTCTAAAACACCTGAATCGAGCTAGAAATTCTGTCACATTAATCACACCTCACTTGTATCACTTCTGTTCAAAGACTTCAATTCAAGCAACGTGACTATATTTACACAGAGCATACCAGAGAGCAGCACAGGCAGAACACGATAATCAGCTGAGCCGTGGTTGTGTTTTGAAGGTTCAAGTCTCTTCTGACCCGTACTTATGATTATGAATTCCAGTTCCCAATCTCCTTAATAACCCGTCCACCCACTTCACTGTATTAAATGTCATATGCGATAAAAAACGGTAAAGCTGTCCGTAATTAATTAAGCACTACACAATGTAGACATACGGGGGAGTGGAGGTACAGCTCCACGATCTCGACGTCGGCACTATGGTAGGGGGGGGGCGGTGACCGGTTGTCAGCTTCACGCCCCGGTCGCTTTATCCTGGGGAAAGGGACCCCGATACACATTGGATAAGAGGCTGAGTGGGCCCCAGATCCAGTCTGGACACTGTGGAGTACAGAAAAATTCCTTTCCCCACCGTGAATCGAATTGCTTCATGCTAGTTCCTTGCTTGGCTTAATTTTCAAACCTGAAGATGGAAGCGATATAGTTGTGAAACAGCCACTGAGTTTCACCAGCATACACAGCGTTATATTCCTGAAGGTAGAACTATTTGTAATTATATATTTTAGAGGCATCATGGAATACTAATTTGTTGTTGCAATTTTGCAACTCTACACTGCCATGAGCCATAAATGATAATGATGACAATCTCATCAGCAATATAGTTACTGGATTGCACAGAAGCATAAATTATTTTTTGTTTAAAGGCAAAAGAAGTCCCTGTGCTTAATTAACTAAGCAACACACCATCATACTTTCTTAACCTTGGTACCATATGAAGGTCACTGGTCATTTTCATGCCCTGGCCACTTAACCCCCAGGGAACGACGCCTCTGGTCTGCAGTGGATAGAAGGCTGAGTGGCCCCCAGAGCCAGTCTGGACATTGTGGAGAAGACTAAAATATCTTGCCCCACCCATGAATTGAACCCCAGATGTCCTGCATGTAACCCATCACTATACTGACTGAGCTATCCCATTATATGCTGAGGTGGTAACAGAGCTTTGGGAACTATTAGAGAAGACACCAAATTTCAGCCAAAGAGAGTCTAGCTTATTACAGACTGAAGAAACATAAGCCAGGGTACGATGAAAAATGATCAAAATTATTAGACCAAGGAAGCAAGCCAGTCTGCAGTAGTTACAGAATCCAAGTGATATAAATGGGGATAATCTGAACAACATAAGACATGAAGCTAGCAGGCATTTCAGGAACAAAAACAGGGAATATCTGAAAGACAAAATTATAAGATTGCCATGAACAGTAAGAACAAGAACATCAGAACCTTGTATGGAGGAACTTTAAGAGGGGTTTCCAACCCAGAAGTAACTTAGTGATGGATGAGAATGGTGATCTTCTTGCAGATACCCACAACATTTTCAATAGCTGGAAGAATTACTTCTCTCAGTTATTGAATATACACAGGGTCAGTGATGTTGGGCAGATAGAGATACATAGTGTTGAACCATCAGTATCTGATCCTAGACCTTCTGAGTTTGAACTTACTATTGCAAAGTTGAAAAATTTTAAATTGCCAGGTAGTGATCAATTCTGACAGAACTGATTCAAGGAGGAGGTGAAACATTATGGTCAAGATCCATAAACTCATTAATTATATTTGGAATAAGGAAGAAGGGCCTCGTTTGTGGAAGAATTCTAATACTGCACCAGTTTTCTAGAGGGGCAATAAAACTGACTGTATTAATTATCATGAGATAACACTGATATCAACTTCATAAAAAATTGTATCCAATATTCTCTAAAGATTAAGTTCATATGTAGACAAAATGATTGGGGATCATCACTATGGGTTTCGATGTCAGATCAACTACTGATCAGATTTTTTGCATTTGTCATATACTCGAGAAAAAATGGAAGTACAATGAGACAGTAAATCAGCTTTTCATAAACTTCAAGAAAGCCTATGATTCAGTTAGCAATGAAGTATTCTACAATATTCTCATAGAGATTGGGGAGCCCAAGCAACTAGTTAGCCTGATTAAAATGTGTTTCAATGAAACCCACAGTAATGTCTGCAGTAAAAACTAAGTATATGTTGCTGTCTCATCACTATAATGCAGGGTAAAATCATAATATTGACATGTGTAGCAGTGACTAAAGACGAGGTTAGGATTGGTATAGCAAGTGTCACGTAACTTCAAACAAGGCCAAGAGTAACCTTGATTGTGCAGAAGAAAAATTTCGGACAAAGGGGTGGGTAGTTTCAATGAAACACGAGGGGTCAGTGAAAGTGGATGAACGAGTGTTAAGAAACTCCTCCCACCACAAGCTATGCACGGGATTTGACTAGGAATGCGGGGTCTTGTTCGAAGTTACGTGACACTGTCTATAATATGATTTATTAAGAACCTATAGGTCATAACTATATATAATTATAACACTGTTACCGATTTTCACACTATAAAGCACTCCACTCTAATCTCTTCAGTCTTTCTGCACTAGTCTTCACTTATTTAGAACAGAGGAACCATAAAAATTCCACTAAATCACACACTCCCAATATCATTGTGCTACAGCACACATAAATTCTTCAAATCACATTTTAAAACTTCACAGGCTGACTTCTTGTTCTCTTCTGTACCCCTCAATGTTCGCATGCTTTTGCCACTACTACTCGTAAGTCGTAACTCATAACTGCTTGTTTGCGTGTTTCTGCCGCTGCTGCTGCTACTACTACTACTACCACCACCAGCCCCATCACTACCACTACCACAGCCACCGCTGTTGCTGCTGCTCATAACCGCTCTGCTCTCCTGGACTCTTAGTTATATATAGCCAAGGAACAGACATGTATCACAGAAAACACGTCACATGATCATTATCCACTGTTGTGCAACATTCCCACGGACAGAGAAGACTTCCTCTATTGTTGGGTGTTGGACCTTGTTTACAGAACTTAATTGAACTTGTTATGATATAAATAGTTAACAGATATTTGGGAATGACAGTAACAAACCAAAATTTGATTCTGGAGGAAATTAAGGGGAGATTGAACTCGCATAATGCTTGCTACCATTCAGTCCAGAATCTTTTGTCTTCTTGCCTGCTCTCATGAAACAAAATAATTAGAATATATAAAACTATAATTTTGCCTGTGGTTTGGTACGTGTGTGAAACTTGGTCTCTGACATTAAGGGAGGAACGTATACTGAAGGTGTTTGAGAACAGGGTGTTGAGGAGAATATTTTGACTGAAGAGAGATGAAGTGACAGGAAGTTAGAGCAAACTGCATAATGAGGAGCTTCAAAACTTGTACTCTTTTCCAAGTATATTTAGAATGATCAACTCAAGGAGGATGAGGAAGACCAAGATATAGGTGGGTGAATATTACAATGGATTTTAGAGATAGGATGGGGTGGTATGGACTGGATTGATCTGGCTCAGGACAGGAATCAGTGGAAGACTCTTGTGAACACAGTAATGAATCTTCAGTTTCCATAAAATGTTGGGAAATTCTTGAGTATATGCAAAACTGGCGGCTTCTCAGAAAGATCTCACCTCCACGGAGTTTGTGACCAATAACCATGAGATCTTGGGCATGTACCAACTTATACTATTCAAATAGGTTCATCCCTCTTTGGGCTTGGATATGTCCATATTTATTCTGTGTTCTGTGTAGAAGCCAGGATGTTTCAGTTGGTACAGTGACAGGCTAAGGCTGGGAGACTGGGGTTGGATTACTGGTAGGGGCAAGAGATTCTTATACTCCAGTGTCCATAGCAGCTCTGGGGTTCACTCAGTCCCCTATGAAATGGGTACTTGGGGCTTTCCCCCAAGCAAATTGGCTGATGTATGAAGCTGATAACTCACCTCCATGTAGCGCAGAGGTCAAGAATGGCAGAGCAATACTTCTCCCCCCCCCAAATGTCTTTATGGTGTAGTGCTTAATTAATTAAGCACAGGGACATCATCTTTTACCTTTGTGCTGTGTGTAGGTAGAGGCCTCATAACGAGCCAGTCACCCATCTAAGGCATCCTACAAATTGTTTTTACAATTCATAATTTCAGAAGTTCATTTCAGACTGGAACAGGCCAAAGGGCCTAATCCATAAGTATTCTTGAAGAAGGAGTGGTAGTGACAAGAATCGTTCACCATTCAGCATAGATCAGAACAAAAGGCAACTAATGATAACTGCTGTATGACTGGTTTAAACAGCAATAACATAGATATGTGATGTTTATATTTGCCATTCTTAATCAACAAATTAGTAAATAACATTTCTCATTACAGATTGCATTTTCCTTTTTAAAAACAAATGATGGCAACACGATGTCTCTAAGAACTTAAAAATACAGGAGTGGGATGCCCTCAAACGGTATGATCTTCACACAAAAATTTAATCAGAATCCATCCAAACATGAAACAGTTTGAAGTGGTCAGGGGGCAGACACATCAGGATGATATCATTAATCTATACTTCCTCATAAAATAAGACAGTTATCACATCTAGTAAGAAGTGCAACAGTACTTGTATGGTCAGAATATTAATGTAACATCTTTGCTTTTATTTGCTTACTTGTGCCCCAATAAATGGTGGAATGAGTCACAGAACAAATGATGAAATTCAAGGTGCCATGCCAAGACAGGGCTGGAGTCATTTTAATTTTGAGTATTAGCAATAATGGAGACAGCAATATGAGGAGGTCCACCCAAATCAGAAGTTCCTGGAACATGTGGAAAACTTCCATAAAGAATGTCAGAAGATGATAAGAAACAAAGTAAATCACATCACTGTTACCCCACAAACACTACAAACTGCATATCCCTTGCAGCCAATAGCCTTCTTCATATATTTTTTCTTGCTTCAGCAGACAGGACATTTTTTGGTTTCCAATTAAAGGAGCACAAACACTCTGTACAAAATAAAAGACAATTATTTCCTTTTTGAAACTCAACACAAATGGTGAGGAGATGGCATAAAATGTCAGATTGTTCCATTAGTCAAGTCGGAAGAGAAAGGGTACTATTTACACTGTGAGTCCAGTCATTTTGTGCATAGATTACCCTGGTACCTGAACTATTTAGCACGTAATAAAGAACAATTATAGTAAGAGTTCAATGTAATGAGTATGGCCTAAAACAAGAAGCTAATTTTAATGGAAATTCTTTTACAAATCATCAATTTAATGAAAATAAAACATAACAGTACTCTTCAGGTCTAATGACAATATATCTTATATCAGAATTTTCACTTTAACAAGCATTTCTGTCTCCTAATGTATTATGATTGTGTGTCTTGGCCATTAACTTCTCATTCTTCAAGACTGGATGGAGACACAGTATGAGCCTTTGTCCCCAAAATTCAATGTATTCATGGGATGGTACATGTCAGCAAATATTAAGAAATAACAAAGAAAATGTTCAAAATTTTTCTAAGCACAGAAAATTATGACCCTGTGCAGTTGCACCACTTGCCACTCCACAAATGAGACTGTGCTCTTTCACACTCACCTACACCCAAAAATGGTATTCATTTACAAGGTGGTTCAAATATGACTGGGACAGATTTAAAAAAAAAAACATAATTGCCAAACACTTAGTTGCACATGTCAGTCTTCAATGTTCTCCCCTCTGGAGTCAACACATTTTTTCCAACTTTCTGGAAGCATCCTGATGCCCCCCCCCAAAAAGACTTGTGGTTGGCGGTGTATCCATTCCTGAACAGTCTGGATGACGGCGTCGTTGTCCACAAAACCACATGCCTTGCAAGTCTGATTTCAGCCTTCCGAACAGGTAGAAATCACTCGGGACCAAATCGGGACTGTACGGCGGATGTGTCAGAAGGTTCCATTTCAATTTCCAGAGGGTTTCAATTGTTGTTTTGGCTGTAGGGGGGCGTGCATTGTCTTGAAGGAAGGCTACCCACTTTCCACCTGTCTTCCGCTTGGATTGGATCTTTTCCTTCATGTCTGTTGCCAGGAGGTCTGAGTAATAAGCTGCATTGACTTTTCTGGCATCTGTCAGAAAGTCTACATGGATAACCCCCTGCCAGTCCCAGAAGAACGTTGCCATCACTTTTCTTGCCAAACGGCTCCTCTGTGCTTGCTTGGGTTTGGGAGAACTGGTATGCTGCCACTCGCTTGATGATTGCTGGGACTCAGGAATGAAGAAGTGCACCCACATTTCATTGGTGGTCACTATAGACTTCAAAAATGCATCACCCTCATCTTCAAACTGCTGTAGGAGACAACTGGCAGCTTGCATGTGCACCATTTTGTTCACGTTCGTCAAAGTGCGTGGTACCCACCATGCATTCACCTTGCGATAGTGCAGGTGGTATTTCACGATGTCTTCTACACTACCAACACTGATGGACAGCATTGCTCTAAGTTCCTTGATAGTGATGTACCTATTCTCACGAATAAGCACGTCTGCATGATCAATGTTCGGCTCGGTGATGGATGTTCGCGGCCAATGATCATGCGGTTCATTCTCCACGCGCTCTCTGCCCTCTCTGAAGCACTTACACCACTCAAACACACGGGTCCATGAGAGACACTCTTCCCCATACTGTTGTTGGAGTCTGTGGTGAATTTCAGCGGACAGGACATTTTCTCTGAGGAATCTGATCACAATGCGTTGTTCCACGCTCAGTGGTACCTTCTGTACGCTCATCCCTCTAGCAACTCCCAGACAGCACTGAACAGGTTCTAACCCTAACAGGAGGGAGAGTGGAGGTTGTGGCTACAATCTCTCAAGATCGCACAGCTGCTGCGCAGTGCGGCCTGTTTACAAAAAAATCAGTCCCGGTCATATTTGAACCACCTAGTATTTTGGGAAGAGTTGTGCAGGTGGATGGGTCAGCTTGGAAAGATGGTGTGTAGAAAAGTGAACCAGGTCAGTTTGCTACCTGGCTTAGCATACAGCAAATCATCCCTAATGGTTAACACTGCACAATATTCATAAACCTCAGACTGTGAGTACATATAACTGGCCAGCGTGTCTTGCGGAATATTCTTTTAAAAATGTTCATCATCAATCTTGAATTTCCTGTGTTGCATGTATCTGGTGAGATGAACACACAATGAATTCAAGTAATATTTTAGTTAACCAGCGACCAACTACTGTCCATACATAAACTGAGACATATTTTTCTGCTATTTGTTTAATTTGAAATGTTCTGAAAACTGAAACACTGACATTTTCCATAGAGTGGCACTATCATTTGCAGTAAAATATCAGAAGAAATGTGTCCTTATTATCCAAATTTAAAAGCAGCCATCTGATAATGACTAATACTCTTCTAATTATGTTAACCCAACACTGATCTGCCATAAATTCAAAAAAACTGCTGGCAGAGAAATGAATCAAAGTTCTTTGTGCTTACAAGTGTGAATAAGACTCACAGGCCATAACGGTAGCAGCATGGAGTCAATGATGTGTTGTGCAAGTAAACAATTTAAAGAAAACACTTACTATGTACATGGAATATATAAATGAAAAAGCCCATTAATGAAACTACACAAATACAGTTATTCCCACTTAAAAAGATCCCTCTGAAGATGGTTTCAAACCTAAGAAATTAAAATGGTTGGGCCTCAAAAATATCACCACCATGTATTTACACCCCACTTTAAATGTTTCCAGCATAAAAAGACAGCTCATGCAAGGAAAGTGGGAAAGTCAACATGGGTGTCAAGTACAAATAAAATGATTCAAAGTTTCCATTTATATGACCTTTAATGTATGACCTCCATATCTGAAGTACAGAAAACCTTTTATCCCAACTGTGTGTTAATTCCTTCCATTTAATGTTTTCCTCAATTCAGTATTCAAAACAGAAATATGTGTAACTTCATTGCATTCTATTGAATTACAGTAGCACTTTCCAGCACATCCAAACATCGCAACATCATGCGTAAAAAGGCAAGAGCTTATGAAATGCAAGAACAGAACTGTATTATAAAGCAAAAGATTAAACATGAGAACTTCTTATGCATCATACTACTACATTAAAAACATATTTTCTTGAACCTCAAACATTTCAGCAGCTCTTTCTGTGTCACATTTAGATCTTGATCATGTGGAGTTTACGATTCAAGTCCTCAAACTTCAGAATCTTCCGAATAAAAAAGTCACCATAACGATGAGCCACCTTTGTATCTGCTATATGGATCATTTCATGGTCAATGTAGAAATCCAACTGCAACAATCATCACACAAAAAAGTCAAAATTTATGCACAGTTTTTAATCAACTTATTAAGATGGAATACAAGAAGTAGGATGCCAAACTGTGCAAGGGGAGAACAATGTTTGCTGTCAGTTTAAATATGGCTAGTGTTTTGGAGTGGAATACTTTCATAAGTAAAGCACTGTATATCAAGCTAAATCACCACTAAATTCATCAATAAATTTTATGAAGAAATAAAGTATCTAATTTGTCCAGCTTTTCATGCCAACATTAATCCACACTTCCACAAAAAATACAAGCAAACATGATCATGATGTCCAAAACTTCATGGAAATTTAATACCACCTAAATGGTTTCAAGCAGTATAACAGAAATTCAGGAGGACAATAAGCCATTTCTTTAAACAGAAATGTTCTGCCATTTTGTTTAAATTATGTATTCCATATTATATCTTTCTACGATACAGGGTCTTTCTAAAAACATGCTACAGATTCAATTGCATATAATTAACTAACTACACAGCAAACATCACTGTATTTGGTGTCTCTGAATTCAATAGTCTTGGAATAATCTTACAGTGCACACAATTTCACCTTTCTCTTCACTACATGTTTCAGCAGTAATGTGCCATCTTCAGGTGTGGTTTTCTTTAGGTCAAACCATTGCACTGTATGCCATCATGTCTCCTTTATAAAATGATTAAAATGTAAATATGTCATATATAATAATAAAATTTAAATATTAAAACTTTTCAAGATTTATCATCTATACGTCGCCCTTCAAATTCGCGAGTTACATCAATCCTCTCCTATGGGAGTACTCTTCCTATATTCTTGTGTATATTGTGTCCTTCCCTTGTGACTGCGTGCGTTGTATTGTGTACAAATACACATCATGAATGTGAATCAGTGCAACAGGACGCTATAACACATTTTCATTATGTGCATCACTGATGTCCATGGCCACATGCAGCCAATGTTGGAACCATATGCTTTGAGGTACTGGTGTCAGCTCTCTGGCTTTATTCTCATGAAGATCTTGCTGCATTTTAATTTTATGTGGTAATTTTCACGACTCCTAGAATTACCCTGTATGTTGCTGATACTCCCAAAATGAGTTGTTGGGCCAGACTTCACATATTTCCTGTGACTCTGTGTCATCTGCTAAACATGGTGCTCTGGCACCCTTCTTGTTGTCAATCATGCTCCTGGTTGTTAAGTGATCTGTTTACTTGCTTGGTGCTTTCCTGCACTCACATTTCACTTGGAATTTACAATGAACTGTGGCAACATTAGGAGCCTGGTACAATATTTTCACCATAACTATATTCTCTTCTGCTGAGTAAACCATCTTTATCACTGCTGCTTCATTATGTTGCCACCAGAGGCAGCACATTTTTGCAAGACTACTGAACTCAAGAGACAAAATACAGTAATGTATGCTATGAAGTTAGGTAATTATATGCAATTAAAACAGGAGTTCCTTTTTTAGAAAGACCTGTACATAGCTCAACATAATTCTAAACAAGACAACTGTTTTTTTCCTTCAGTAAGTGAACATAACAACACTTGTGTATATTCCTTTAAAACATAATATTCCAAATTAATGTAACAAAGCCAAGATGAAGTGAGATCTAGTCTGACATACAGAATTGTTGAGCTGCTCCAAATTTATAAAATAATTGCATAGTAAGATATAGTACTTTTCTTCTGAAATTCTTTTGAGACACTGCAACACTACAGAAGTAGACTGTGAGAATCAGGAGTAGCTAATATACAAAGGTTACTAGCAGTTCAAGGACTTTATCATGAGTTATTAAGCAAATCTGAAACCAGAGTGCTGAGGATATCTGAACTTACAATAGAGCAGTCACCAGGAGGAAACTGCATACTAAGGAGCCTTCCTGAATATTACAAAAATCAAATCAAGGTGGCTGAGCCAGTAGCATGCACAGAAAGAATGAGAAGTGCATACATAATTTTGGTTAGTAAACCTGGGAGACCTAGGCACAGAGGGAGGATTACATTAAAATAAACCTTAAGAAGCGTGCAAGGACGTGGACTGGATTCTTTTGGCACAGGATAAGGACCAGTGTCAAGCAAAGATGACTAACCTCTACAGAGGGAGCCAGTATAATGTTAATCATAAAGATTCAAAACATTTGGCTACAGAAGAATTTTGTAAACGCACATAATGCCTGCATTAATGAGTGATATCAACATGCAAAGCATTTTCTTCCTATAATGAGATTCGATGCACACTCAAGCGGATGTGCACCTATGTATGCAAATGTTGTTATTCATAAACCTGAAATTCTAATAACTATAACAATGTGTGAAGAAACAATATTAGTTAGTGACCTGTGGTTCTGTATGGGTGTCAAACTTGGTCTCTGATATTAACCTTTAACGGCCGAATGTTATAATTATTCGCATCAAGTAGCACCCCGAGCTGGCCGAATGTTATAATTTTTAGGGACAAGCCACGTGCTTCCTTTGTGAGTGCTGGCAGTTTGACCTTGGGTTTGAAACCCAAACAAACTCATGAACGTTCATGTCAGATGTTTATTTGTTAGCTCTGAACAATGAAATCGTTTATCAGGGTACTGGTTTCGAAACTATTTACGTTTAGATATGACTGTTTATGACCTGGTGAGCCAATAGAGGTCAGCTTTGTTTTGAGAAGTTAGAGGAGGAAATATTCGTAAGCACTTTCATAGCAGTGCTGCCAGAGCTTTCAAGGAAGTGTGGCTCATTCAGGGATTGGTTTGCAGTGTTGAATTCTCAGTTAGGACGTCAGTGGCGGATTTACTATATTTTGTTAAAAGTTAGGAAGTCAGTGTCAGACTCCTGTATTTCTTTTATATCATTTTTATTGTGTATCTCGGAAGTGGTATAAATACACTGAGCCAGTGTTACTTTGTGCGTAAAGACATCTTCGTCACTGTGACTTTCGGTATCAGTGGCGGACTGGCACTTTTCGACTGCTATTGCAATTACTTTGCATCACAATTTTGCGAGTATTCTTCCACCTACTAGACATGTCTATTCTCAATGAATATCTGTTACACAAGTCATGTGATGGAAAAATGACGCACAAAAATTTCCGCGAAATTTTGGTGCGTGATTTGATTCTTCAATCACATGAGGCGAATATCACGGTCAGTGGTGTTTTTCGAGGGAGGCCAAGTTCATCTGGGGCCCAACTGAGTCGACTGGAGGTGAAACATTCAAAACACTGACCAGCTAAAGGGAAACAAAGACGTTTGTTCTATAAACAAGAAAAGCGGGAGCACGCTTTACCGCTGTAGAGTGTGATGTCGCGCTGTGTGATGGACTGCTTCGAGAGTGGGACACGCGCGTCAGAGTGAAACTGTGAAGCGATGCAGTCCAACCCGTGTACAGTCCGAACCAAATATTATTGTATATAGTGTCGTCATATTTACATCGCCACCACGATTCAAGGTTGAAGAAAAACAACATGTAAGTCCTTTGGAATTTCATAACGTATATAATAATGATTATATTTTGCACTTCATGACAAAATACTCACAGTTGATTTTCATTTGTAAAACTTGCCCTTTTGTATATATGTAGAAAATTTTATTGTCTTTCAGGTTCTTTTTAGTTCATATTCCGATGTTGCATAGAACGGAAAATATGCATTTTTTTCTGAAAGTTTGCAATGTTAAAGACTTAGGGCCATTTAAATTCCGGCCGTAGGGAGCTGCAGGCAATTTAAAAGTCCGTACGTTAAAGGTTAAGGTAGGAGCACAGACCGAGTGTGTTTGAGAACAGGGTGTTGAGCAGAATATTTGGACCAAAGTGAGATGAAGTGACAGGAGGTTGGAGAAAACTGCAAAATGAGCTTTATAACTTGTACTGTTCTCTGAGTATAATGAGAATGATCAAGTCAAGGAGGATGAGGTGGGCAGGGCATGTAGCACTAATGAGGGAGAAGAGGAATGCATATAGGATAGTGGTGAGAAAGCCAGAAGGAAAGAGACCACTGGGATGACCAGGACATAGAGACCAGTGGAGGGATCTTGTGAACATGGTAATGAACCTTTGGGTACCATAAAATGCTGGGAAATTGTTGAGTAGCTGTACAATTGGCAGCTTCTAAAGGACTCAGCTCCATGAGTGAGGGAAACCAGACCCTCTTAATCAGGGTTAAGGAACTTCAAAACATTGCTTTCAAACAGCCATGTTTGTTCATGACATAAAATGTTAATCCTTTCATACGAGAAAGACAAACTGGAATGGAGAAGAGTTAAATGTAGGACTTCACTTTTGGGAATAGGTCATGTGGAAAGCCGAAGCTCTTCCAGCATATCAGCAAACACTGCAGTTACAATCTTCAAGGTTAACTGAATGTTATTCCTGAAAGCCAAAATTATGCAAAACACCAGCCAAAGAAATCTAAAGCCAAGAACCATAATTGTTCACAGTTTTAAGATGACATGAGAGATTTATGGTCAAAGTTATACAGCTCAATATAATCGTAACTGTAACAAACATAATCAGTAAACAGATAATTAACAACATCAACTTTTCCAGTATGAGCCAGGATAGTGTAGTCAGTATAGTGACTGGCTACAGGCCAGACAACCAAGGAGTCAGAGTTCAAGTCCTGATAGGGTCAAGAATTTTCTCTTCTCCACTTCATCCAGACTGGCTCTGGCGTCCACCCAACTTCCTATTCAATGGATACTGGGGGCTTTTTCCATTGCGGTGAAGCGGCCAGGGTATGAAGCTCACCATTCACCTCTAGCTAGTGCCAAGGTCAAGGAATTTGTGCAATCCTCCTTGCAATGTAAGAGATCTGATACTTGGAATTAAGTGTATGTGTAGACAACAGAAAGTTACATAATTAAAAGATTTGGGAAGGTGAAGCATGAGACTCTCCCCCTTAGAAGGGGGGAATGGTGTTTCTGTGTCTGTACATTAGGAGCTCCATACCCACCTCAGATCCAGACTGGAACTTCCCTTCAAGCCCTGATGTTCCCTTTGTCCATACAACATTTTTCATCTTGTGCTTGAAACACAGAAGATGGATGATCAATGCGTCAATCTCTTTCTTCAAATCCCTATTCTCATCTTGACTTGGGCCTGGACCCATAAATGTGGCTAGTTTTGACAACGGCAGTGTTGTATACAGCTTCAAGTAACTGCAACATAAGAGATATATACGATAACAGATACTATCATCATCATCATCATCCCTTTAAAAAACCAGATTATGGGGCCCATCCACATCTTATCCAATGGATACTGGGAGTTCTTTCCCGAGGCATTAAGCATCCAGAACATAAAGTTTACCCCTCACTTCCAACTAGTACTGAAGTTAAGAATATGCAGACTACACCTAGTTACTAAACCATATTTTCCAACATGAAAGAAGTGTCCCCCCCAAAAATGACTAAAAATTGCAGTGTATCTTATGCACTGGTGCATCTTATATATGGAAAGTAATGAGGTATGTAAATATTAGAACCAAAGTTAATGTCACATACATAAATGAATATTTTATAATTAATATACTGTGGCGTATTTGTTCAAAGCAGGAGCCTCAGAGGCCTCGGAACATGCGCGCAACATGAGAGTTGCAGATTGTATCAGCTCATTGCTAGGCGACAACTCTGTGAAGTCACATACCCCGATCCAGCTCATCGCTACGCGATGCTCGGTAAACACCGCTCCATGCTAGGTTGTGATGTCATGCAACAGTGGTAGCTATCACGTTACGGGTTTCTATGGAGTCCACTGCTGAGCAATCACTCAGTAAACACGTTCCAACAATATATGCTGTTTTCTGTGCGGTAAGTGCAGAAGCTAGATAACGAGAGTATTCGTAAGTGTTTTGGCAGTTAAGAGTAGTTGAGAATGGCAGGAACAAGTGAGGTGGAGCAAAGAATACAGAAGGTCGTCTGTGAGGGTGTAAAGTGTGACTGGAAGATGTAATGTGTAATATTTGTAGTGATTTGAAGTGAGAATTTCTGTGTGGAGACCTGTTGCTAGGAGACAACTAGTGGAAGAGAGAATCCTAGTGCGTGGGCAACAGTGAACTGGAGTGTGTAAATCGGTGATAGCACTGTAATTTGATTGTAATTAAGAGAGTGCCTGTAACCAAGCTGTAAATAAATCCAATCAACTGAATTAGAACCCATCATTTGGCCACGCATACCCTCCTACACGTGACAATATAAAAAATTTTGTTTTCTAACCAAAAATTTAAGAAAAATATAAGACAGGCAATATTTTGTAATTTCTCCTTCCTGAACCATTTTGCATCTTATACACTGGGAAAATCAGCAACTCCTTGGCTCTCCTCTTAAGAACTCCTTTATGACAGATGTCCATACTTCTTTAACATATGTCTTCAGCCTACATATCTTCACTTTCATCTCTCATAAATTGTTCTCAACACCTTCCAGGCATCTCAGTTTGGGCCTTCTCACTTTCCTTCTAACCTCTGGTTTACTCTCTAACATTTTCTCAGCCATCCTTGTTTGGTATATCCTAATTACATGCCACTCCAACCTTTGCCTTTTATTATCTGCTACTAGATCAAGCATTTCATACAGTCACACGATAGAATGACTATACATTGAGTTTGGATTGGTATTTAGATATAACGAATTCTTAAACAACTCATGACTAAACTTTAAGAATCACTATCACACAAAGACTAGTGTTCTCAGTCATGGCCTTTACTACATTGTTTAGTAGCGGCTTCCAACAGCGGATGTTTACCTTCTCCTGGGTTCCCGAACTGTCTCATGTTTCAGCTACCCGCTACAACTCTCAACTGGCTGTCTGCCTGCAGACTCTCTCTCTGTCTCAACTCAACTAGTAATGGCAGCTGATCTTCCTTATATAGCCTTAGCACAGACCACACAGAAAACACCACCTCCAACAGTTCTTCTACTGTTAAGTGCGTGTCTACTGCAGCAATCGCAGGCATGTTTACAGACCCATTCCCTAGCAACGGAAATCTCTGCTGGCTTCACAGTTCTGGCTATCAGCAGACATGCCACAATATAATTCCTCCATATGTTTTCAAGGATTGGTACTCATGCACAGGGACAATTTTATTCATCAGCCAATAAAACCATTGATAAACTGTTTAAGAGTTCATGAGGAACTTCCATGCAAAGTGGGTGTCTTATGAGTATCACCACTGCATGGTATGTCATCAGGTTGTAAATTGAGGAAACAAGCAGTCACAGATGATGGCAAGCAAAGGGTCATCCTCCAACTCAGATGATGAGCACGGAACTAACAACTCCCCAACCCCTACACACAAAAAAAAAAAATAAGCAGGCTATGAAATGTCACACAGGGTCTTTGACTTGGACAGATTCATCAGAAAAACCTATGTAACAGAAAAGAGACAAAACATTTGGAACAAGGAATGTAAGGAGTGTTTATAAGGAAAGTTGACTGAAAACAACGATGAATGAATTAGCACAATATACTGTGGCGTATTGGCTCTATGCAGGAACTGTTGAGCCACAAAGGCCTCGGGCCACGCACACAATGTGAGAGTTGCGGATTGTATTCGCGAGTTGCTAGGCGACAACTCTGTGAACGCTTCGATTGCACAAGTGTGAGTGACATCACATATCTCACTCATCCCATAACTATGCAACACTTGGTAAACACCCCTCCCCGCTAGGCTGTGACATCATCCAACAGGGAAGTCCGTGCAGAGACTATTGCTAGTCAATCGATTAACACATCGCGCAACTGTGGTAGCTATCACGTAACTGTTTTCTGTGTTGTCAGTGCGGAAGCTACATAACGAGGAGTATTCATCAGTGTAGAACCAGAGTGTTACGAGCAGTATTCAGCATGAGTTGAAGTCCAGCAGCTACAAGTTGATTTGTATTGAGTGAATGGAAGTGACTAAGCAGAAGAAGTAATTGGGACAACGGAATTGTGAATTGTGTAAGTGTAAGAGCGAGTGTGCAATAAATTTGCTAGATCCAAAACGGTGTGCAGCTATTTGTCGCGTCACAAACACCCAAAACGTGACAATATGTTAGATTGAGCAGGAGTACAGGAATGAAGATGGGACAAGGATGGCACTGAGTCAGGAGGTAACTGTATGTATTTTTCTATGGCAAAGGATTAAAATGGTGATCTGCATGCAGATTCACACATCCACAATGGGTGGAAGAATTATTTGTCAGCAAATGAATGTAGATTCAATAGGTGACAAAAGAAATTCCCTGCTGAGTACAGAGTTCCTGACAAACACTACATTTTAGCGGCCTCCGTAGTCTAGAGGTAACGTTCCCACCTCATGACTCGTGGTACACGGGTTCAAACCAGGCGGAGGTCGTGGAATTTTTAAGGGCGGAAAAATTCAGGGAACAAGTCCTCCGGGAGGGACTTTAAGCTGTGGGTCCCGTGTCATAGCTTTACGGCACATAAAAGAACCTCGTATCTCCAAAGGAGGTCACTAAGCCAAATTCAAGGACATTTCCCGCCCAACAGTAGTCTCTAACGCCTCTGATAGATGGGGGAAGCATTATAGATACCGCCAAGCCAGTAGAGGCCGAACTCGCTGGCTTGGTCGGGACTGATGGTATGCACAAATATAGGTAGGGTATAGAGACTGGTAGAATATCATAGAGGGAAGCACAATGGACCAATACTGGTCTAAGTGCATGGGGAAACCCACCCTCTCCAATAACTAACTAACTTACACTACATTTTGGTTAATCTGTATGTAGTATGTACAATTTGTATATAGTACCTTCTGATTGTAGGCAGCATCTTCTGCTGGCGGACTTCATCCATGAAGACTTCAGCCTGATGTCTGATGGCTTCCTTTACATAATCATAATCTGCATCAGCATCTAGTGGTGGTGGGGTAGGTGACAGAAATTTTGGACAAGCAAAGAGGAAACATGACTCAAACTCCTATAAAGAGAAAAGCATATTATCATTGAAATGAAGCTCTCTCCTTCTGTGAGTTAACAGAAGCTGAGGTGATATACAATACATGGTGTGACCATACAAGTTCAGGATCACCCACAAGATGACACTATTGCAGTTCAAAACCTTTTTACTACATGGAGGAAGAAAAGAACCTGGTGAGTGATCTGCAATTTATTTCAATGTTGTGGCTTGCATCACTAAGAAGACACACTCTGTGAAGTGACCTCATGTACTACCTGCAATTCATGCTTTACCAAGAAATGAGACATTTCAAAGTAACATGAACGTGCATATTAAATTCGAGTAAAGGAAAATATATTTGTGTGACCCTTTAGTAATCACATTTAACCAAAAACCTCGTGAGAATGAAGATAACTTGTATTAGAATGTTATATTTTCCTGGGCAAAATATTTATTTTCTTCAATTAATTTTTGATTACAGATCAAAGATTCTATATGCCTTAGCTAAAAAGCAGACCTGCTTTCAGAAGTAATATGATTCAGAATTCTTAAATTTGCCTGTAGATTTTTTGTCAGCTGCCTTTCCTCTCTGGGATCTTAACTTTTGAGCTTCCTTAACCCTACTACCTGCAAAGGAGTTTGCAGCTTGTTTCTTATCTACAGTTAAACAATAAGTTCTGGTAAGAACTTACATCATCTAATTCCTTTTAACTATCTCAATCTACATGGTAAGACTTGCAAGTACTATAAATTAATAATTATACTATTTAGTCATCAATCTTTAGCACAGTTTCAACTATATAGATTCCATTTATGTTGCACCACTGTTATGCTAGGTTCTGCTAACTTGCAAGCAGCGATTTCTTATAGAATGCAGGTATGATGATAATCAAGTACCATATGAAATTTCACATATTTATTAGTTATCAACATTAAACCTGCCACACTGTTTGATATTCTACAAAAAGATTACTTTAAAACTGAATATTTTTAAAATCTGTTACAATACCCCACAGGACTCTATAATAAACAGTCCTCACAAATTCTAAAACCAACACATTTATATGACTGATGTTAGAAAACTAAGACGTGCAAAGACAGGTAGGCCTCTAGTGGCATGAAGCTCATAACACATTTCACAAAAATTCATCAAATTGTTACAAACCTTTTGCTGGAGGGGGGAGAAGAAGAAGTGGGAAGATAGACACATGTTACCATATCAGTCCTCATAAAATATGGAACAATTCACTCCACAGATACGGGTCCTGACTGAGAAACTGATTCACTTGGCTGGTCAAGAAATTTCTTGCATTTTCAGGGAATTCAAAAATTCATTACCCCTCTTTAGACCATATTCTGAGCTAGGCAACTGCAAGATTTGGAATAAACATTATTCAGCATGCACCAAACTGCACACTGGAAACTAACCCTCTTCAAAACACAAAGAAAAGCATGAAAGGTAGACAAATATGTCAATATAAAACTTGAAACATACACTGAGTTCCCCATATTGCATCTTGTACATTTTCTCATGGTAGTTCTTCTCTCGTAACACTTGATGTATTGACTCATCAATGCACTGAGGATGAAGGACTAAGCAAATTGCTAACAGATGATACATCTGCTCAGTCTGCTTGTTAATCTGAAATCAGACACATTAATCCCCTAATCATCATTATAGTCTCATGGACAAAAAAAGCTGGAGTAAAATATTTACAATAGACCAATCTTAGGAATACAGGAACTGAACAGGTTGATATATGGGTAACACTCTGGACTTGTGTTCAGGAGGTGGTCAGTTCAAATTTCAGCCAGAACGCTGACCATCATGACAATTTCTCACAATTCTCCTCAGTCCCTCTAGGAAAATGACAGGATAGTTCTTTCATTATGAAGCCATTACTGCTTCCTTCCAAATCTTTCCCAATCCATCAATCATCACACCATGCGACAACACCACAGTCTCGATACTGACAGTGCCATAATGAAATCCAGAATAATGTTACCACATCATCTTCATGCTTTCATCCTTTAATAACAGTACATTAACAGCATAAAATTACAATGCAAAGCAAAAATGGTAGGCCAGGAATAGCAACAAGTTGTTCAAATTATGGACACATAACACATGGGCTCAAGAAATACAAATCTGCAGAGCAAAATGCTGTTACATAAAAATTAATGAACTTGAATTTAACTACTCCAAATTATAAGACTTAAATTCACTGCACTCTGTGGAGCAGACACCATACGGAGAACTTAAGAGCAGGTCATCTAGTCATTACTGTGCTCACAAGAGCTTGTCACTGGACCCTATGCAAAGAATCTGTCCATGTCCAAAGCCCCATACAAAACATCATAACATGATAGTTATTAGGCTTCTTGCCCCCTGCCTAGCCACCAAAATTGTCACCACAAGAACATATTCACAGATGCTATCTCCTCCAGACATAATCTGAGAATGTGTCATTTTGTGAAGACAAAGAACCTACTAAACATCACATTCGAAATAAACATAAATACATACTGACACAACTGTGGTGCTGCACATACAAAATGAAATCTTATGCTGGTGGTGGACTGCTCACATCATGTGATCATGGTAGGTGGCATGCCTGATGGCAGGACAAATACAAGGTGGCCCAGGAGTAAAGGTCAAAATTCTGGAAGGTCATAGTATCGGTCATTCTAAGCAAAAAACTGTACATGTACATGTGTCCCATTCCAAACTGTTTCCAAGACAGAGCTATTTCACTGCACTGTAGATTGGATTTGACACCCAATACTGTCCTTCCTTCCTACTGGACTGCACCATTCTCTGAAGCATGTGAACTGGTGTGAAGTGTCATGTGTCTGTTGCGACTGGTGATAGCAATATTGTAAGAGTGTTGTGAAAAATGTCACACATCTTCAAAATTGCTGAATATGCTGATATGATGTATGATTAAAGCTTCTGCAATGACAGTGCCACTGTTGCTGTTGAAGAATACCATCGATGGTTTCCTATGCACAGAATTCCAGATCGCAGAGTGTTTTCCCAGGTGTTCAATACATTGTGTGAACATGGTAAACTTAGCCAGTAACCATTTCACCCACAGCACATGCAAAATCTAAACTATGTGACAGTGCCATGCAACTAGAATTCTGTCCTTGGTTACATACTAATCACCAATTGCTTCCATCAATACTATTCACTGATGAAGTTACGTCCACCCATAATGGAATCAACAACACACATAACTTGCATCGATGGCCTCACGACAATCCACATTGTGCTCATGTCCCTGCTTCTTTACCCCCACCCCCCTTCCACATACTCATTGCATAGGTGGCTGCATGGGCTCCAGAGCTGCTCTGGAGGCCACAGAGAAAAGAAATATCTTGCTTCTGCCAGGAACTGAAGCCTGGCCATTCAGCCTGTCGTTACACTGAATGAGCTATCCCGGCTCCACAGAAAATCAGAAATACACATGATAATTTTCAGAAGATGGAAGCAGCAAACAGATGTGGACTGAATGGCACAGGTGTTTTAGTGCATGCTTTCAATGTAGCCAAGTGTTTTTTATATTTTATCCTTTTGTTTAAAAATGACTGGGGATTGGCTACAACTTTTTTAACTGAACTGCACCAGTGGTTCAAAAGAGCCATACACAGCTCAAAATCCACAGTTAGGTCATGCCTGCTACTAATAAATTATACAAGCTGCAGGTGACATCCAGTGACTGGCAACAGCACTTTTTAGCAATTCACAGATGAAGACTGTTGGTAACGTTATCACTTTTCATAGTGGAGTGGGGAAGGAAGTAGATGTGCTAATTTTCATCAACACTGACAACACAAAAATAATCAACTATAGTATGGGACCCTGCATTCATAATCTCATATCCAAGTTTTTCTTGCTTAGATGCACAAAACAATTAACTTTGCAAGACATGTTTAAAAGGATTACAGTCTGTTCTGCTGTCAAAATTGACAATTCCGGTTCTCACTGTTCAACTTCAAGCACTTCCCATGTAAAGTAAATGTTAATTAAATGCTTTTAATTGTTGAATTTACACACGTGACAACTTCTTTTGGCTAAGGGAGCCAAAAAACATAAAATCCCCAAATCTGGAAAGCTTTTGGTCCAAAGTGTTCCAGATAATAGGTCCCACACTGTACAGTTGTTTCTGATTTCAGTACTTAAAAGCATTAACCTAACTACCCTGCTCTCACCTGATCATTCTGGTATGTGCGACTCTGGAAGAGCTGCTTTGTACGCTGGATGTACAACAAAATGGAACTGAAAGTTCGAATTGCATCTGAATACCTTCTCATCATCATGTATGCAAATCCAACATAATAGGATGTTGATATCTGGCATGCTGGCACATGAGAATACTGACTCTGAAAAACAGAAGATCATATGCAATTGCATGGACTGATTAATTGCCAAAAGCACATAAAATTTTAACTCTGTGAGTTAATCAAAATAAGAGGGCTATGTTAATCAATTCATGTTATCAACATAGAAAAATGCATACACACACTGTGGGCATTTGAGAACACAGTACTGAGAATATTTTGACCTAAAAGAAAAGGGAATTAGGATGGAAAAAAAACTATATAATAAGCTTCATAATTTGTACTCACCCCCCCAATTATCAAATCAAAAACACTGAGATTTGTGAACATGTAGCATGGATGGCAGAGATACAAAATTTGCAAAAAAAAAAAAATGTAGGAGAAAATCAAAACAAATGGAATCTGATTAACACTGTATAAGTACCGTACATTTCAATCGCAGGATGTCTCTTCTGCCTTCAAGTTACTCAAAAAAATTTAAATCCTCTAGCACTGACAGGTTAATGATTGATTAATTCAATACAAAAACTGCAAAATTATGTTTTTCAATCACACATCAAAATAATAAACAAACTCTACTATACAGAATTACTGGGGGTTTGGACTCTAATATGAACAACCAAACTCAAGATATTCTACAGACCCAGTGCTTTGATAACTAATTTTTGGTTTGGACCAAGCCAAAAATTTACTTAACAAGGATTCTTCTCACGTAGTCAAAAATTTGGTAAAAGACGACTCATACTGACGTGCAACCAAATGCATGAAACTGTGATAGGAAAGAAGTACTAAGGTATTCACTGGTGGCAATGTCCTGTCTAGAGCTCCAAACAGCCAGAACTTGAAGGTTTGAAAGAAATTACAATTCATTTGTAATTTACTTTCTAACATCAATGTCATCTTCTACAATGAACCATTCAGAAAAATACAAGATAGTAATTCCAAGCCACAAACTATGCCACATTTCCAGGATTCTGTCATAATCATCAGACTTTTATGATACAAGATACAAAATTTGTTGGTGGCTGATGACATGTCACCATAAAAATTTCACATCCAAGGATTCATCAAACCCAATGGATCATACATTTCAAAGCTCTATCACCATATAATATTAAACAAGCCACCATTGAACAACATTTCCCACCTGAAAAGTTAGTTGCATGTTGGTAGTACTGATTTTAGGGATCTGAAAAGTGCAGTCATGTCCTGATATGTTTCTGCATTTGATGAAATGTCATATTTCATAATTTTTTCTAGTCTGGCCACAGCCCTACATGAACAATGTACTGTAACGTATCCGAGGTCCCGTGATGAATAATAATGGGTTCTGGTTTGGATGATTGGATTTATTGACACTTATACATATAACAGTTCGAGACTACAGGTAATTATATTGCTATCGCCATTCTACACACTTTCACCTCACCGTTGCACATGTACTAGGATTCTCAGTCTTCACTAGTTGTATCCTGGCAACAGATTTATCACAGTCTCACTGTAACTTCAAATAACACATGAAGTCTTCTTAGCAGCATCTAATTCCTTTCTTGCCATTTCTGTGGCTGTCAATTCTGAGGTCTGACTCGACTATTCTCGACTACTGTTGCATACTCCACTCTATTCCATCTACTACTCCCACAGCTCCTAGCCTAGGAATTTGGCTTACTTATATAGATGCGGCATTAACTATGCACAGAAAACACAGCTGTTCTATTGTTGCATGCCTGTTTGTTGAGTTTTCCACGTGACTGCTACCCACCCAGTCTATTGGCACACTGGCTGCTGCCTAGAACGGTCACAGCACACATCCAAAGAGAACACCGCTCCTATTGTTGTGTTCATCTGAATTGTGTTTACCTAGTAATGGGGTGTTCTCGCTCCACAGCTTAATGCTTTGAGCAAATTTGTCACAGTATTATTTCCCCACATTTCATGAATTTTTATTTGGTAAATAACCCACATTTAGTGAATGAAATTTTCTATCTTCCAGATCTCACACATCAATTTTGTGCAACTTGTGAGTCAAACACAAATCTACAGTTATATTTTCTCTCTTATGGAAATCATTTCTACACAGCCACAGTCTTTGGAAAACGATGTCACATACTTAATGTGCACAAAAATCACTCTGCCTGTGGCATTAGTTGCTTCTCTTCTCACCTGAGGTTGTTTCAATGTTCATTTCATGTGTCATTAATTATTCTATAAATTAATTTAATACTACAAATTATATTGGGTTTTCAGACTTTATCCATCGTCCTGGTTTTTAAGATAACTAAGAAAAACATGACGTTTCGGAAACTGGATCTGTTTCCGTCCTCAGGTGAGGGAAAACACCTATTCTGTTGGGTCCCTTAGAAAGAGCTAGCCTCAATCATGAATCCGAATACAAGGATAAGTTAAACACATTGCTAGTGTCTGGGGTTTACGAAACCTTGCCCAAAGATCCTACAGCTAAGGTGGAGAGGAAAGCACAGAAACTCCTTTCTAAATACAAAACCACTCTTCCAACCGATCTAAAACACAAGCTTCGTCCAGTGATTGAGGCTAGCTCTTTCTAAGGGACCCAACAGAATAGGTGTTTTCCCTCACCTGAGGACGGAAACAGATCCAGTTTCCGAAACGTCGTGTTTTTCTCAGTTATCTTAAAAACCAGGACGATGGATAAAGTCCGAAAACCCAATATCTCTGTATGTTATACACCATGGTCAGAATCCTATAGTAACTACTACTAATTATGTAATTATAATTATGAGAAAATGCCTCTTTTTTACTACTTATGGAAATAAATAATTTTATCACAATTGCATTCACAATTCTGCATAACCCCACCTAGAGAAAACCTTGATATAGTGCAAAAAAGGCCATTTCTCAGAGATTCATTAAATACAGGATTAACTCTCAAACTGGAAACGTCTCCAAGGCATGCTGCTCTTATACCACTTCACCAAAACTGGCCAATTTGAACCTGTAATATTTTAAACTGAAACAGGGGACAGATATATGCTGAAGAAGAAACAGAGCTAATCCCCCCACCCCCCAAAATCCTGAAAAATTACCTCAACATGGCATCCTACACGTATACTCCCAGCAAACAAAAATAATAGTGTAAGATGGATGCAGATGTACCTTCTTGTTCAGTTCAATATTTTCCAACACTTTTATGGCCTGATAGTAGTCACAAAGAAGGGAATGGAGTCTCAAGAGTCCCACCAGACTGAAGTAACCGAGCATCTTGTACAAAGAATGTCGTCCAAAATCTCCTGCTACAGAATCAGGATCACCACCACTAGCATATACCTAAAACAAAATATGATACATCTCTACACAAAGTGGCCTATAAGTCTCCTGTTATTATCATACCTTGAAGCCATATAGAATTTCACAATCATCTGCACTCAAGTATTGGACACCCCCTCACACACAAAGAACAGTACCCATTTTACACTACACTATGCTTAAATCACCTTTGAAGGTGTCATACCTTAAGTAGGCAACATTACCAAAGAAAAGTCCTGTGTGTGCAATGAGGCCTCACACATGGCATTCCTAGCGATTATTTACAGTAGCACGATTTAATACGAATCTTCACAAATCCATAACATATTTATATCTGTAAGTAATGCTGATCCTGAAGATGACACCCCTTCAAATATGTTCAGGACAGACCATAATGCTCACTTCCACACTCATTATATCAAACACTTACTTCCAGTTGACGTTTAATGTTGGACTTGTCAATCAAGGAGTGGAGAACATTCAGAACGCACAGCACATTCCACACCTTACTCTGCTTATGGAGGTTTTCTAGTTCTTCCGGAGTTTTCTTCTGAATACGGGCACGAAACTGTGTAAAAGACTGGAACTGGTACACAAACTCATCTACCAATTCCCACAACCACTGATCTGGTAACTCCAATGGAACTGGCTGATCAGCACCTATACAGAAAATGAAGTGGCATTTTGTATATGAGTATTGTAACGTGTTTACGTTACTGAATACGCCGTAGAGATCGTTAATTGGTTTATTCAACAATCTACAACTATCGGCTACAATTAATTATAACAATGTTACGGGTTTCCACACTTTACAAACCCTACAACAAAAGCTCTTAACACAATCTTCACTTGTCTTCACGTACTAATAATGCAGGAGATATACAAGTCTCCCTGAATTACACACTCCGAGTATAACTGTACTACAGCACTCATTATGTCTGGAAAACACATGAAAAGTCTTCCGCTCGCTGACTTCTTAAGTATCGCACACTCGCAGGCTGCTATGTTTCAACTTGGCGACTGTTACTTTATAACTCGGCGGCTGGCACAGTACAACTCGGAAATGTCTTCAGTACAACTGAAGTCGCCGACTGCTACAGTAGAACTGACTGGTACCAGCTGTGCAGCTCACTTATATAGCTGCAGTGCTTGCCGGTTGCGTAATGAGTGCCACGTCATCCTGTTACGTCACCGCTGTTGACTCGCCTTGCATAGTTACCAGGTTGCGGGGGCTCGGCTATCTTCGGCTCCGCTC